AAGTGATCCCCTTGCTTCAGCCTCCTGAGTAGCAGGGACTGCAGGTGCCTGATACAACACCTGGTATTGTTTCTGAAATTTAAATGCTTTTCTTTAGTTTTAATTAGTCTCTTGGTAAGTCTATAAAATAATTTTAGAAATAGATTACTAACACATTTTACTTTATTTAGTGTCAGAAATTCGGAGAGTATCATAAAGATGATCCAAGTTCCTTCAGATTTTCAGAAACTTTCTCCCTTTATCCACAGGTAAGTAGATAAAGGTTCATATTGTTTTCATGTGTTGACAGCCACATTGGGTCTAATTTTTCCTGTTGTCTTTTATTATTTTATCTTGTAGGACTTGCATTTGGGTTATTCTTTTGGTTAAGTAAGTTTTCGGATAGCTAGGAAATTAACATTATGTTGTGAGAAGTTTGTAGTAATTTTGGCCTTGCAAAGAGTCATTTATTTGTGGTGAAAAGAGATTTACACTAGAACAGTGGGTAGAATTGAAGTCTCCTTAGCTTTTCTCTGATATAGGGGAATCTTTTTACAGTGGCATCAAACAATAGGTAGTTTTACAGGTTACCTAGTCTTGCAACAAGCTATCATCACCTGAGAATTTTATGAGGCCATCCCAGGTCAACAGAAAAGAAACAAATTTGATTTATCTTACAGAATATTTTCTACTTGGAGCAGAGGAATCTGTCTCTCTATCTTTCTGTTGATTTGATGATATTTTTAAAAGCTTTTTTTAGAGTGCTGTGTGCAAGGAGCTTCAGGGGAATAAAGATGACTGACGTGGATCCCACTCACCCACTCACGGGGAGCTCTCTGGGTCTGAAGTGTGAGACCTGAATACACACGAAGAGCTCAGCACAGACAGGGAGAAATGCTGCGAGAGATGCATCAGATTTAAAGGAAAGTTAAAGGAATCCTTCCAAATGGAGGGTTGATGCATTTTTAGAGGAGGTGGCATTTTAGCTCAGCTTGGAAGGAGAATTAATATTGAAATAAGGAAATTTAAACTTTT